TCTGGTCTCTTTTTTATTTCTGTCCATCCCCCAAGCACTGTCAGTAACTCCCCTCAGTGTTGTAAATACATTGTTTCATGTTATGTCCAATAACAACTAAATGGCCCATTTTAAATCGATATTATTATTACTATTATTATTATACTTTTATTATTATTATACTTTGCCTGAATAAATAAAAAAAAATGATACACTAAAAATTTTAATCAATTATTTAAAAAAAAAATGCTAAGTAAATTTAGGCATCACAATATTATAAAGTATAAAAATGTGATAGATGGTAAAGATTCTTTTTTATTTCTGTCCATCCCCCAAGCACTGTCAGTAACTCCCCTCAGTGTTGTAATTAAACACTGCAGATTAGTTTTCCTTGTAATTTCTGGGCATCTTCAAATAGTCCCCGTGACGCTAAAGGAGAAACACACCCACCAGCCAATTAAAGAGAGCCGGTTTGCGACAATTACCCATACTGACTTCTCAAAAGCAGATGTGAGGAACGCTGTCTTCCTGCTACTCTCGGGTTGGGAATACACCTCAAATATAGTTCATTTTCTGCAGGAAACACTATGGAATTTTCAGGGAAAGAGGCCGCTACTTAGCTTACTGCAGAGTCTGAGAGCCAAAATCTGCCGTCTACGTGTCTCCTCCAAAAAAAATGTACTTGTAAAATATAAACCCTTGTCATCTTCATAATGTGACTCTTATAATAACTTAATGAAACACAAATATTCTCAGAGCAAACAGTGGAAAGCACGTTGGCGCTTGCGAGGGGGAAAAGGACAAGGAAGTGAATTCTGCACAGCTATGATAAATCTATAATGGAAACGGGTTGGTTTGAATATCAAAGGCGGCGGGAGCACACAGATGTAGTGGAGGGGAACATCCTGTGAGGGAATAACTAGGGGTGTCATCCACCCTTTCAGAGGGCGAACGCCAACGGTCCCCCTCCGTTTCACAGATGAAACGTCAAGTTGATTTTGTGTCTGTCACGACAGCAGCTCCTCCTTCGCGCCAGCATGAAACTTTTTTGAACTTTTTGCCATTTTTACTGTTAAGAATAATACAGAACGTAGAGGAAAAGATGGGAAGAATATGCTGGAATGGGACTGGGAAACAGCACAAGCTAGATTTGAATTCGCAATGCTCACATGACCACCACTACATAGAGAATATGTGCTAAATGATAGTCCACATAATTTTAAAAGTGATTTTCTTTTAAACCAGCAATCAAAACTTAACTTCAGCATCAGATTGGGAACAAAAAACATATATAGATTGGGATCAATTGTTTTAACCACAAAAAAAATGTAAATTAGATGATATAATGATTAATGATTTCCAGAATTAATAAGTCTCTCTTAGCCCAAGACTAGAGAGCGCTATAGACCGCTCCACACATCCTGACGAGGTTATCGGGGTCTGGCGTAATGATCCACATTCCCACCGCAGCCCAAGAACTGGAATAGTACACTATAATTAGAGGCTTTCCACATGCTGCAGTTATTTAGCATGCTAATAAAGGACAAAGCTGACTTCTCAGAAGTATTACAGGTAAAAAAGTGAGAGTTTTGGGAAAGGTTTAGCTTATATGGCACATACAGTGCAAAAAATGACTTCTTCATAGGTGAATTAGTGTTTTTTGACTTATTTTCCAGTTAAAATATCTAAAAAGTACAGTCTTCAATGTCACGATCCTTCAGAAGTATTCGAATATGCTGATTTGCTGCTCATGAATAATTTCTTATTATTATCAATGCTGAAAATAGTTTTGCTGCTTAGTATTTTTGTATAAACCTTTTTTTTTTTTTTTTGATGAATCGAAAAATTCGAAAATATTTTTTTAAACAATTTTTTGGCTACATTATAAATGTCTTCACTAGGCGCGTTTCCATTACCCTTCAAATTGCACAAATTGAAATTGCGAATTGAAAATACGCCTAATGTTTGATCAAGTTTAAGCATTTTTAGACATTCAAACTGGAAAACCAGTAAAAATACTGATTAAGTTATAACCCCAACTAATCTAACCTGTTTCACACTGTAAGCAGTCATAACAATAAAATGACACATTACTGCCCATCAATCTTTTAACAATCTCACATTGTCATTTATGCGGGTCCTAAAACTCAATTTTCTTTGATCGGCATTTCACAGCTGTTTTTAGAGTGCGAGAAAACCTGCAACAGACACGTCTGTCATCCTTAAAGACGCAGCCTGATACTACACATTACACAACACGTGGCCCGGAGCCATCGGGGTGAACAGTGAGCTCTTACGGATAAAGCCAGTCCCATCTTTTCTTACATTCCTCTCTCTCATTCTTTGTTCCTCTGCGAGTCATTATACTCTAACAAAGCATGACACATGAAGCATTATAAGCCTCCAAGTTTCATATTGAAAGGAAAACATGGAAACAAAAGGGGCAAAATCCAACTTCAGGGATGTACACAGGGCATACAGAGCAGAACGAATGCCCGGATTGACCCATTTTACCTCAGTGCGCCGCACAGAGCCTCTACTGTACGTGAAGTTAATAATAAACCCACAACAGATCTGCACTAAGCGTCGTTGCCTGGCCAAACATGGCTTGTTGAAAGTTGGATTAGATTTACGGTCCGCCGGGTGCTGGCGATCGTAAAAGTGGGATTATTAAAATAACTTTAGAAAAAGGAAAGATTGTGTACACAGTGTTCTTGTAAGAGCAGGCGAGGCAGAACAAATACATTTTGAGGTCTTAACTTTCTTTTCGGCGGTTTTCTTGGAAAACAGCACGTCTGACATTCCTGGTGTCAGTCTGAATAAGTAGGTGAGTGTTGATATCCGAGAAGTGATAGATTTCTCTCTGCCTCCGACACTGTCTGTCTAGTTTTGGATGGAAAAGGGGAGTTTAGGCAGGAATTCTACTACCTTCCTGTCGCAGGTTTCCATCATGGTTGCCTGAACGGGTAATTACATGCGCGGCGGCGGGGCAGGGGGGCGGAGGGAACGGACAGGCAGTGAGGGTTTTGAGCTTTGCCACTGTGTCATTATGGTCCTGTTTGAACCTTATTCAGAATAAGCAGCCCGAAGGCTGCGGCCAAACAGCCCGAGCTTTTCCTCATGTCGGGCCAAGTCGTCCGCCCGCCCGCCAAACCTCTTTTTTCGTTCTTGCAACAACAAAAAAAAAGAGGGCCTCCAGAACAAATAGTATACAGTATATCACCCTCTGCTTGATATACCGCATGATATTTTCTCACTTTTTAGTCTCTGAGCTCACATAATTTTCCCACCAACTTCAACATATACAAATTTATGTTTCTGTTTGACCAGCACTGGCCTACAGAAGCTAATAAAAACACTTTAGCTTTACAACTGGTACTCTTACGAAAATGTACAATGGTTTTACTATAGTAACACTAACTGTATTAACCATGATATTTTGGCCCAATAGTTAAATGTTTGGAGGGTCACAAAATGTAAGTAAATATATATATATACACACACAATTAAGTACATTTATTATTGTTTTTGCAAGATATTAAAATTTATTTTAAGAGAATATAACTTATAATATAACCCTGTAACCCAAATAGATTTTTAAGAATAACGCTCAGTAAATTTAGTAAATAGCTATATATATATAACATTACCATTTTTTCATAATTTTGGTTGGTGTTCACAGTTAAACGACAATCACCAGATTTCAAATATTTTTTTCTTTTTAAATCAGTGTTTTAATGTTTTAAGGCTTTTATATAAGATATTTAGTGGAAAACAAGATACATTTAATTCAGACAAAATATTTTGCAAGATATTAAAACTCTCAAAACTCTCTATTAAAAATCTTTTCAGAGAATATAACTTGAATTCAGTGTATTTCTCTTATTCCTTTGCTCAAATAGATTAGTTTAAGAATAACTCTCAGTAAATGTTGTAAATTTACTTTTTAAAACAATAAAAAGTACAATTCAGAGAACATAATAATTATCTGAAAACAAGTCTTATCAAAATCATATATAATGACATACACTTAATGTATTTATTACATAAAATAAAAAAAACATAAAAATACTGAATAATAAATACATTTTTGTAATGCATGCAAGAACTACAGTACATTTCCATAAGGGTAAGGCCAGTTTTTAATAGAAGATCTTAAGAGTGAGTAAGACATGCCATTGGTACACACTACACGAGCGAGTCGCCCCCTCCAGGTCCAGCACTGACTCGATTAGATTACAACAAGAGGGTTGGTGACAGCTCCTAGGCATACTTGAAAAGCGGTTGATATCCGAGATCAGTCCTTTCAAGCTTAAAGAGAGACAGTATGTAATGCACATCACGTCCGAGGCAAAGGAGAATCGCTGAAAACCACAAGCTTTAAGTAATAAGCCCATTTAAAGTATCTGCTTTGAGTCTGTACACAAAAACGGTTTTGTGAATCCTTTTTAAAAAGGATAAAAATCGACCCCGTTGATGCACAACTCCTTGAATCAAATGAAAAAAGAAAAACTACAAATGCCAATCGGACAGAGAGATACAGCACACTTCAATAAAGTTTAACAGTTAAAGGTAACCGCTATATTGTGATCTCTACTGTAAATATCATAAAGTTCATTTAAGGTTTTTATAGCTCACGACCACCTACTGAGACCTATTCTGTTCTCTTCAGGCCGTCTGGCCCGTTTCCTCCATCAGGATCACCATGCAGGTCCAGTGGCACAGTCATATCCTGCCCATCTCCAGCGAGATTACCCGACCCACTGAGTCCATTGAGACCCAGAGACCCAAGAGGAAACTGGAAACGCTTTCTATTCAGCTTATATTCAGTTCAAGGCCAGGAAAGTCACAAACACAAAGCCAAATTAAGACTGGCCTGCTTTCAAACCGCTCCTGGAAGACGATACGAATCATTCAAAACTGAACTGCTAAGCCTATGGTATCCAAACACATCTGAAATCTTAATATCGCACACTATATGTAGATACCCATAAACCGCAAGAACCCAGCCGAGCACTTACTAGCTACTTCCAGTGAGGCGTTGTGGCTGACTGCTTCTCCCAGGTAGTTACGGGCCACGCAAACGTAGGAGCCTTCGTCGGGTTTGCTGCGACGGCCGTGTACGATACGCAGGAAGAAGAGCGAGCCGCTGGGCAGGAGCATGCGGTGGGATCGAGGGTTGTCCCGGTCCGTTTCCACACGCTCTCCATCCTTGTACCACTCCACGGTGGGGTTGGGCCGCCCCTCCGCCTTGCAGTTTAGGGTGGCTGGTTCGCCCTTGGATACAATCAGATCAGAGGGGTGTTCCACAATACGGGGTGCGTAGTCTTCCTGCCGCAGACGGGACCCTGGAAAAAAAGAGAGGTAATTAAATAACATTTAATATCAGTTTATACTAATATAATTTTATTTAGGAAAAAAAATTAAGAAAATGGAAACTATACTTAATATACCAGCACAATAACACGCTCAGCAAAACACTGCCTAATTATCGTTATCAGCAAAATTCCAGAAAATATAGATATAATTTTTTGTCATTATCGCACACCCTTATAATGTATGCATATATCATTTATATTTAAATTATATATTAAGTATAGATAGATAGATAGATAGATAGATAGATAGCCAATCAGCCAATCACAATGAAGAATTCAATAACACTGTGGTATAAATTTAAATACACGATTCAGGAATCGAATGGATAGACAGCTTCCTCAAGTTTCCAATGCTCGCTAAATTATGCTGTTCTGATGCACGAGCATGTAATATTAATGACGATCAATCTTCCAATGGGCTTCAAGTCAGATGAGATTCTGTTTTGTATCCTAATGCAAATTCAATACAAATAAAGTGCACCGCTGATTAGATCCAGATGGATGTATCCTGATATTTTCATGTCTGAACATGATGACTTTTGGCTACAGGAGACACCGGCTGAACTCAGCGCATGATTTCATGGGGATGCATTACAACACAGTTATTTAAAGGAATAGCTGACCCCAAAATAAATTCTTAGTCACCATATGCTCACCTTCACCTGTATAAATTTCTTTCTTCTGTGGAGAAAATGGTGACCAGAGGTTGTCAAATTTGAAAAAATAGCCAAAATATGACACTTTGGAAGCCATACTATAGCTATGTGGAAAACAACATTTATACACTGTAAAAAAAAATTTAGTCAAAAATGATTTGAAGTTATAAATAAAACAGATTATTGGTGTACATTTTACAAGAAAATATTATTTTAGTTTTTCTACTTCACTTTCTACTTCATCTTTAATTCAATGTGCTACTTGCCATTTCTTTGTGGTTTACTTACAATTTCTTAGTGAAAACTGTTTCTACACCCTTTTTTTTCAGTGATATGCACAGATTCTCTTCACTGACGTTTCTCTTAAACGTTAAAAAAATTGGTCACCATTGACTTCCACTGTATGGAAAAGTGCAGCGTCACAACATGAGGTGAATGAATGACAAAATGAACCATTCCTTGACATTTTTGTGTGTAATTCCTGAAGCAGGTGTTGGTAGGTTCTTACGAACATGTTGGCGTGGCTTTGACTAACACAAAAGCTCTGGGAGGGAACGAAGCCCTTCATTACTGAAATCTCTCTGTTCTTTGGACTGTGGCAAACCTGTGCTTAAACCAAGCCACTGTCATTTCAGTGGTGCGCCACTTCCCTGATCAAAGACGTGAAATGAGAGGGCTGTAAAGTTAGGGAAGAGGGGGTGTTTGGAGGAAAAGGGAGATAAGAGGCATTACAGAGAGACACACACATCAGACAGTTCCGTGGATGTCTGGGTTTATGTGTGTGTGTGTGTGTGTGTGTGTGTGTGTGTGTGTTTGAAGGCTGGAAGTGTAAAGGAAGCACAGCCACTGCATAGGGAAATACAAAAGTAGCTAAAATTGGAGACAGCCAATCTGCCTTTCTGGGCTTAAGTTGTTTGCTTGTGTTCAGAGACCAGTGAACTGCACCCGTAAGACCTGGTTTATATGCAAATGAGGCTTGCATCTTTAATGCCTAACGGCTACAATATAGTGTCTGTGCATCTCAACACTGCCCTTTGGAGTCCATTCAGCCCCAATTAAAAAGAGCTAGGATTAATTGGCAGTGCAGGGTCAAAATTCACTCATCCAACCCAGCAGCTTTTCACACTCTCTCCATCCCATCCCCCATTCCTTACATCCAACTATCCCTCCCTCCGGCCCTTCTGAGGAAGGAGAGCTCCATAAGACAGTGTCTATGAGCATTAAATCATCCCTAACATCAGCGAGAGTTTGAGCGAGGTAATGCATTCATTAGTGGTTCAACGGATCACAAATCTCACGGTTCGTATCACATTACGGTTTTTGACCCACGGATCAGATAATTTTTCGGATCAGCTTTCCATTTATTACTTAAAGTGAAGTACTTCTTTGATACCACAGCAAATACTACTAGAGTAACTAAGAAAGTTTAAACATGATTAAAGAGACAAGAGAACAGCCAGTAAAAATAAGAACAAATACACAAATTACAAGCATAGATAAATACAACAGAATATGTTACAAATAAAATAAGGTTGGTAGTATTCAAATACAGAAATGTAATTAGGGAAAATAACACTGCAGAGGGTTCACTGCATAAATTAAATATAGCTTTTTATCACAGCTGTTTTGTTGTTTGATGATCATTAATGACAGCAGCAGTATTTATAGGCCGCTGTCCCTTTAAGACCTGATGCACGGATCCGATATAATGATACACATCACATCCGATTTCTTTCTCAGCTGTTTTCATTCACTTGAGACATAACTGACTGCGTTTACCTGAATGATTGTCGAGATGGGTATTTTGTCATAATTTCATGTGTATGTGCCTGTTCAGAGGATTCAGAAGAGGATTCAGTTCGGTGTTCGCGCGCTGTCTGAAACGCGTGTGCGCGCTTCATGTGTGTGCGGCTGTGCGCGTAGAGAAGAGCGCGCGAGTAACGAATCGAGTTCCCTTTCGCCTTTTCTCTCTGGAATTGTTTAAAATTTGCTTGCTTGTGTAAATACGAACAAATGATAAACTTATACTCTATTATGGTTAAAAATGGTCTAAAATGGTTTAATCCGTGGATCATATGCGTGCCGAACCGTGGGGCTTGGTCCGTACGGATCACGGAACAACTACGATCCGTTTAACCACTAGCATTCATTGATTTGCATGTTGTGGAGAAGAACGGTTGGCTCTCGTGTTTACAGTATGTGTAAATATGTAATGGGCAGATAATGAGCTGTTCTTTCTGATGCATACGAACACACTAAAGGCCCACAGGACGATATACTACCAGTAGTTTTCTGCAAACAACACAGAGTGAATGCAGAATGGTTATTGTCTGCTAACAGCCATAAGAAAGTTCTGTTTATGTACAGAAATTACCCAATGATGTATATACAGTGGGTACGGAAAGTATTCAGACCCCCTTAAATTTTTCACTCTTTGTTATATTGCAGCCATTTGCTAAAATCATTTAAGTTAATTTTTTTTCCTCAACTCTACAATAGACGTTACTGAAATAAAATAAATAATAAATGGTTTAACTTTTTTTTTTCATTTAAAATTGTTGACAAGGCCACAATTTTCAATAAAATTAAAATAACTCAAACCAAATAAAGTAACGACGACAATTAATAAAAATGACAATTAATAATAATAATAAATCACAAAAGGCACAATACACATTTATTGTGGTTCAATATTTTACATTTTATTTTTCTTGTTTTCTGTACACTTTAATTTAACTTACATTAGCCTATTTTTGTCATGTTTTGTTATCCCTTTTTTTTGTTTTTTTTAGGCTATATATGTTGTGTGTATGTATGTGTACATACATGCATGCATACATACACGCATACATACACACATACACACATACATACATGCATACAATAGAGATAAAAATAAAATAATATAAAACAGACAAAATAATGAACAGAGTTAAAAAAAAAACGAAACACTCCAATATTTGTATAATCAGCATTGACTGAAAAACAGTAGTTATGCTAATATTGAAACTGAGAATAATGGCTTTTAGAATAATGAGAATAAGCTTTTTGACTCAATATTTTATATTGGTTTTATATATTTATGACTTTAGACTTTTATTTGATGCAGAATGAATAAAGACATTTTATATTATTTTAAAAAGCATTTTATGGCAATATTTAATTAAACATTGTGTCCAATAAGTATTTTATAGCAATCCAATAAGTGTTCATTATATACACAGGCATTATATCAGCTAGCTCCCATTCTCTAGATATCAGCTTTAGTACAGGTTATTGAAAAACCCACTTTGTTTGCCTATAATAAAAATGGTGGCAGAAGAAGAGATTTCTAATAGAGTGATGTCGAAAAAAAATAATGAGGAAGAAAATGGCTCAGGGAAATCTCTCAGATAGAGCATCCGCATATTAATTTACCCTGGTCAGGTTCGGCTCTTCGATCCTGTTAAAGCAGTCCGACTTAGAGAAGTATCCAGTCGGAGAGAAGTAAAAACTACCCTCTCTCCTCCTCCTCCCGAGGTGGTCATGAGTCCACTCGCAAAGTCAGAAGACCTCACTACATGCAATATTCCCACTGCACTTTGAAATGCAAAAGCCCTGCTCTCGCTCTTGGCAGACCAGCCATACTGTTTTATTTATTTTTTTTATACGGGAGAACGCTGCATATGCTCAATACTGCTGAGGGCGGCGCCACGTTACACGGTGAAGCATATTTAAAGGGTTAGTTCACCCCAAAATGAAAATTCTGTCATTAATTACTCGCCCTCATGTCGTTCAAAACCCGTAAGACCTTCGTTCATCTTTGGAACACAAATTAATATATTTTTGATGGAATCTGAGAGCTCCCTGACCCTCCATAGACAGCAACGCAACTGAAATGTTCCCAGACAGAAACGTAGCAAGGACATCGGTAAAACAGTCCATGTGACATCAGTGGCTCAAC